GGTCGACGATGTGTTGATACTTTTCCAGCGAAGAAGACTAGCCGGAGTGGCCGGAGCTGCCTCTCTGTCCTCTACAAGGATTACAAGGTCGCTCACAAATCGATTTCTCAGCAGGTTTGTAATCCATTCCTTTCGATTGTCTCTTAGGACTGCGTGCTCATTTATTATGTCCTATGGTCCGCAATCATTTCAGGTTCTCTGTTCCACTCATCTTGTCCTTCCCATCTACAGTCATTTCATTGAGAAATAAAGAGCCTCTGAAGGTATTCCATCATAAACTTGCACATCAAGATGTGACTGACATTGTTTGAGATTTTTATTTTATTTTAATATCTCCGCTGTTTTGACTTCATATAATTCTCTTCAGAGTTATAGTAGTCTACAAATGTTCCAAATTCTGATATTTTCTTGTTTGAAATTGCTCTTGATTCTTTGTAGGTATGACTTTGGATTTGCTAAAGAGATTTTTAGGGAAAATGAAGAACCTGAAGTTTTGAAGATCAACAACAGCTGTAAAAAAGTCTCTTATGAAAAAATTGAAAGATCGGCTGCCTAATAAGTATGAGGAAGTGAAGCAAGATCCGATGTTTGCGCATATTTTGGCAATCCATGAGCAGTCTCTTGGATACTCAGGAAAATTGATACACAGCTCCATGTGTAAGCAGCTGGATACTACGAAATTGCATGAGCTATGGTTTGTGTTTGCTAGGAGGCCTCTTCGGTTTTCTCTTCAAGAGTTTTACGCTGTCACTGGGCTCAAGTACGTGAAGCCGGACAACTTGAACATTGATGAATGGATAGATGATGACGGTTTCTGGAGTAGGCTGCTAAAGAGTAGGAGGGCTATTTGCTTAGTGTTGATAAAGAAGACATACTTGCTGGAATGTCACAATTGGACGTGTGTGTTATTGATAGTTTGTTAGTTGTGAATGATGAGAAGGTTGCTATACCACACTCCTACATCAAACTGGTGATGGACATTAGGAAGCTACGGGTTTATCCATGGGGTCTGGACTTATTTGACCATCTTGTGTTATCGATAAGGCTGCGAGGGTCAAACTAACGCAGCCTTTGAGCTATCCTCTGCATGGTTTCTCATATGCTTTGCAGATTTGGATTATGGAAGCCATTCCTGATCTTGGTGTTATGTTGGCCCGTAAACTTAAGAATGATGGCATTGTGTTTCCGAAATGTTCCAATTGGTCAGGAATTGCAAAGATATCATATCAACAAATCAACTTCATAGAGTCCTCATTCGGTTCTCAGGTGAGTTTTCTTGTCTCTGTTTTCCTTTTACATATCATCTTCCCATTTATCTTCGATTCTGAGTTGGGTTTTTCTTTTATGATTGCAGATTGTATATAGTATATTATTTTGATACTAATCTTAGTCATATTAACTTCTTTGTAGGGTGTTCTGTATCCATACATCTCTTCCACTGGGAATTTCGATGTGATTGATGCTCTTAAGTTCAGACGGACCGACAAAATGAGAGATGAACAAGTTGATTGCATTCAGAGATGTATTTTCTCAGGAAAAGACTGGAGTGACCATATTTGGCAAGTTGCAGACCCTCATAAGCCTTTGGAGCCGATTGTGGTAGAGGAGTTAGACATGGAGAATCAGAACGAGGCTGTTGGTGATGTTGCTACTCCGAACGTGCAAGACACGCCTGCTTCATCTTCGAGGCGTGTTAAGAACAAGTTTTCTGATAATGGAGCAGAGGAAAGGAAGCACAAACTGTTGTGCCTAACACTACAAGAAAACAGGCAAATTTCCGACGGT